CAGATATTTTCTTCTCATAAAATTTCAATGACTAATGTAGGGTCCTTTGTGTCCGCAGAGTTGTCAGCTTACACTGTTCATGGGAGACTGTGCCTCCTATGAAAAAATGGCACAAAAAGAACATATAATGTGTTGAGTACATTGTGTCCCTTCAGAACGTACATGTAGAGAGAATTTCGGAATGTGTAAAAAAAAAATGTAGGTTAAACACCTGAGAAGAGTGCTTAATCTAATCATGTCTTTATAAATTCCTGGGAGGAACCTGTATTCTGTGACTTTTACACCCCCTGGTGGCCCTGAGTGGCCTAAGAGTGAGGTTTATGCCTGAGTTAACACTAAAGTCACATCACTGTGTCTCTAGCACAGTAATAAGTGGCTGTGTCCTCAGATCTCACACTATTCATTTGCAGGTACAGAGTGTTCTTGGCATTGTCTCTGGAGATGGTGAATCGATCCTTCACGGATGGTGCATATCTTATAGTACTGCTGTCTTTGTTAATATATCCAACCCACTCCAGCCCCTTCTCTGGAGCTTGGCGAACCCAGTTCATCCAGTAATCACTGAAAGTGAATCCAGAGGCTACACAGGATAGTTTCAGGGATCCCCCAGGCTTCACCAGGCCTCCTCCAGACTCCACAAGCTGCACCTCAGACTGGACACCTGCAAACACAGAGAATGTTGTTAGTAAATTGCAACAGAAAAATCTATCTTTTATATATCTTGTTCATGTTCACTATCACACTCAGTATCTCTTCTTCATAAATTACCTTTTAAACAAGCAACAAGGAAAAAGCAAATCATCACCAAATTCATTCTGTGTTTTTTGTTTTCTGTGCTGATCACTGAATGGGAAGACCTGGGCATCCAGGACTGATTCCTTTGTCTGAGCTTCAAGGCCAGTGCTTATTAGGTTTTCATGAGCAGAGTTAGGTCTTATTTGCATGCCTTCCTGTTATATAAGCTCTGCTGTTGGAGCTAAGAGATAGCAGGTTCTAATATGTTTGTAAATGTTCTGGGGAAGTCTGGCAGGAAAGATAATGTTAGGAAATTTTTTATCATACGAAACTATTTTTTTTCTTGGCACACATGAATTATTGTCTATTTAACATAATAATCACAAAGAAAATATGCATTTTAGGAATAATTTCTGCCCAATTATTCATGTCCTGTATTATAGAGGGCAGTGGCATTGTTTTCTTACATGCTCTGGAGATCTTTCCTTATACTGTGTTGACTTCAACACTGATGCACTTAGCACCAACTGAGTCAGCTACAACCCTAAGTGTTGTTGCCTCTGGACTTTGGAAGCTCAATTTTTGTGTTGTTATCATGTGACATGGCTGAATTCAATTGCTCAGCAAGTAAAATGCAGAGACTCTGTCCACATTCATGTGCACCAAAAAGTATACAATTCTGGTGTCTTTTTTTTTTGTTTGTTTTGGCTCTCTTTTCCAGAAATCTACATATCTGTTCACTAGAAACAGAGAGTGACTGATAAGCTAAACTTCAGTGTACAACTCAGGAATTGGACTCTGCATATCCTACACATATGCATCCACAGGCCTCCCAGGAGGATAACCTCACTTGCAACCTTTATCTTTCTTATTCAGTGTGTTTCATGCCCTCTTCCAGATAATTACCTCTCCTGATATTATGTGAAATAAAATCATCTGTGATTTTGAGAAAGTTGATTGAGCCCACTCTGAGCCCATGAGGCAACAGTAGAGAACACTGGAGATTTTTGTTGAACTCAGGTCACTGTTCAACAGAGACAATGGGACATCTGTGATATTAGCTGATTACTCCCAAGACACTTTTCCAATATCATTCTTAGGATGTGAATTGAAGCCGATTGAGAAGAAGGATGCTTGCTTTCAGCCTCCATAAACTGGTAAGTGACTCAGGCTCATGTTTCTTAGCCAGAAACAATAGGAATCAACGTTATCTTTAATAACAGTTTCTCTGAAGGGTAATGAACAAAGGTCATGATCTCAGATAGTATGCTCAATATAAAATTAAGTCATTCTGTGCAGGCATTTGAGTGACCTGCAAAGAGCTAAGTTACAAATATGCCCTTCACATCATGTAAAAGTACCTGAGCATTGTGCGTATGTAGTCCCCTTAGTTAACCTCTTAACAATATGGATATTATCATATTTTAAATACATGGGGGTAGAAATATGTAGGTGTAATGTAGAGGACAGTTTAATGGACTTCAGTGCACCTCACCATCAGTGAATTCATTTATCATGATTACATGATGATAAAAGTCATGGCATTTATTACCATAATGTTTGTTCCTGTGAAACTACTCATACTCAAAAAAAAAAAAGAAAAAGAAAAAGAAAAAGAAAAAGAAAATCACCATCTCTCTACAATTCTTTTAAGCATAAAAACAATGTTCCAAAAATTTTGTCAGATATTGATTCATCAAGAAAAAGATAAGGGAGAATCTTCATGGAATGTCATTCCTGGCTGAAGAACGCTATCTTATATGTACTCACAATCAACTGAAAATCATATGGCCGATGAATAGACCAAGAGAAGTCCTAATAATTACACCCAGAGCTCATAGCAGTGTTGAGCTTCCCTCTGAAGGATTTCCTGAAATACAGTTAGAGTAGGCTTTACAAAGGCAAATATACAAACAATGACATTAATTAATCATGTTCCATTTTAAACAAACTCCAGGTATTCTTTTATCAATAATGTGTACAAACCTTTCTTGAAGTATTACAACAAGTCATGGGAAATGGGAGGAAATAATTCATGTAAGGAATACTGAGGCAAACACAAGACCTATATACCAGAGAGGACATGTGAATGATACCATAGATATATTGAAACATTCTGGGATAGGACAGATTGCTGTAAGGTAGAATGATATACTCATTTAATCCATGAGTAATATAGGGTGTCAAGTAGACATATTGGTCACAGATTATGCATACTAGACTCAGTATATATCTTATTTATATACTTACATATAAATATACAATACTATATATATACATATATATCTGACTTTAAAATATCAGAAATCAGAGAGGCCTATATATTACATAAACTATTTTTTCAATATAATGTTTGGTATTTTATCTACAGGAAAATAGTTGATAAAGAAATTTAAAAAATACTCTAGAAAAAAATTCAAATTGATACTATTTTCAAAATAAAAAGGCATTATGCCTACAAATACATTTTTACCAGAAAATTCTAGAAATAATGAAATCATTAAGCATAATAGCTTGAAATAAACTGAACTTAAAAAATTTACTTGTCTTTCTGTGTACTAATAATAAGTCTATTGAAGAACATAATAGAATACTCTCATTGATAATATTCTCCCAAAACATAAAATAATACCTAGGATTAATTCTAACAAAGAGGTTATGATAAAACTCTAAGCTCTGGAAAAGTGTAGGCCAATTTAGAAGATGGAATGATGTTCCATATTAATAGACTGGTAGAACTAATACTATAAATATGATCATTAAATCAAAGAAATTCAGAGAATAAATGCAATCCCATTCTACATTTTTTTTTATTTTTGAGACAGGCTTTCTCCGTAGCTTTTTGTTTCCTGTCCTGAAACTAGCTCTTGTAGACCAGGCTGGCCTCGAACTCACAGAAATCCACCTCTGCCTCCCGAGTGCAATCCCATTCTAAATCATCATGACATTCTCTATGTAATAGAAAAACAGACAGTTTCTAAAGGTTAGTTTAAAATCACAAAGGAACCAATCTTGAATATAAAGAATGTTGGATTACTTTATCATATTTCACATCATAATAAATTGCTATGGCAATAAAAGTAAACTGGTACTGGCACAAAAATTGATGTAGATAAAAAAGCAAACAAACTGGAAAATACAAACATGAATGTCTGTTAACTATTGCAACCTGATACTTGACAAAGATTCTAAGTTTTCACATTTTAGAAAGATATCATTTTCAAAAAATGGTACTTGAAAAACTTAGTACAAATAGAGAAGAATGAAATTACACTTGTGTTTATTATCCATCACAGAAAATGGATAAGAAAAATGAATATTACACCTGAAATATTGAACTCTTGAAAGATACACAGGCATTACTCAACTAGTTGTAATTGTAGGAAACAATCTTATGGACACAACACAAGGCCAAGGAGTTAAGAACAAATAACGGACAAATTTATGAGACATCATAAATCTAAATTGCTCCTTTCAAAAAATGACATAATCATTTGAATAAAGGGAAAGCCCAAGAAGAAAGAAAAAATGCCAGCTATATATTAGCATACAGAATATTAACAAATTAAAACACTATGAATCAAAAATATTGACCCATTTTAAAGGTTATGTTCTCACCAGATATTTGAAGAAAAAGAAAAAAATCATCTAGAAAAAAATGTCTCAAGAAAAAG